CTGGCTTGCAATCTCCTAGACCCAATCTCACATTTTTAGGATACAGAATGAGCTGAAAGGCTCTACAGCAGACCTGCCACTCAGAAATTCTATTTAGGTTGAATCGTGAAATTGCTGGTTTTACAGATCAAAAATGGCAATCTCATATGGTTCAACCTAATATGTTGAGGGGAGGAGTAGATTATGGTTTAAAAAGCCTACCACTAGTCTTGAACTTTTCCTCCTTTTCCCTCCTCCAAATGTATAATAGAATGTTTGCCTCCCAAGTAACTCCATGTAAATCTCAAAAAGCAATTTGGCCAATCTGAGCAACAGTGAGACCCCATCTCTACAAAAAATAGAAAAATTAGGGCATGGTGGCGTGCACCTGTAGTCCCAGCTACTCGGGAGGCTGAGACAGGAGGATCACTTGAGCCCAGGAGGTTGAGGGTGCAGTGAGCAGTGATGATGCCATTGCACTCTAGCCTGGGTAACAGAGTGAGACCCTGTCTCAAAAAAAAAAAAGAAAGAAAGAAAGAAAGAAATTTGGGAAAATGTAGATAATTCCTGAGCCCCAGTCCTCCCACAGGGAGAATAATAGAAAGCTTTTAAAATTTTATTAATAAACTCTTGTCTAGCTGCCTAATGTTAAAAGAAACAGCCCAGGTATTGCTGGCTCCGCAGCTGACCCAACCATCATTAAAGTCATCAGCACAGGAGGACAGGGCCTCCTCCGTCCTTGAGAGAGGGTCTCAGGGACAAAAAATCTCACCCCCCTATTAACAAGCTGTGAAAATTAAGGCACAGAATCACAATGAAGACACACTGAGATGGTGACATAGTCAAATTCAAAACTAGTCTCTGAATCCTTTGGAAATAGGCTTCCATTTCAACAGCATGAATAAGAAAACCCTGAGTAGTACTTCCTAAGCCAAGTGAGTATTTAGTGAGAGAAAATAGAGTCTGTTGGACTGGGATCTAAAATCTCTCTCTTCATCTCATGTGGGTGACATGGTATAGAATCAAAGGCAAGACAAACACTTTTTTGAAATAGATTCCCTAGTATTTTCAGATTGATGCTTTATTTCTTTTTCTTTCTTTCTTTCTTTTTTTTTTTTTTTTTTTGAGACAGAGTCTCACTCTGTCACCCAGGGTAGAGTGCAGTGAGGTCATCATAGCTCACAGCAACCTCAAACTCCTGGGCTCAAGCGATCTTCCTGCCTCAGCCTCCCAAGTAGCTGGGACTACAGGCATATGCCATGATGCCCAGCTAATTTTTCTATTTTTAGCAGAGACGGGGTCTCACTCTTGCTCAGGCTGGTCTCGAACTCCTGAGCTCAAACAATCCTGCCACCTTGGCCTCCCAGAGTGCTAGGATTATAGGTGTGAGCCACCGCGCCCAGCGTGACTTGATGCTTTCAAGACATTTCTCCTACATTTGGGAACGTTTAGACTCTCTGCCACATGGGTTCTCCGAACTATTGTTGAATCGCCTCCCACGTTCACTACATTCATAGAGTTTTTCTCTTGTGTGGATTCTCTGGTGCATAATGAGACTTGAGCTCTGATTGAAGCTCTTCCCACATTCTCCACATTTATAGGGTCTCTCTCCAGTGTGAATTCGCTGGTGGGTAATGAGATTTGAGCAGTCACTGAAACTTTTCCCACATTCGAGACATTTATAGGGTTTCTCCCCTGTGTGGATCCTTTGATGGCTGGTGAGGGTAGAACTCTTACTGAACTTTTTCCCACACTCTGGGCACTGGTAGGGTTTTTCACCAGTTTGCCAGTGTGCACTAAAGTGTGAACTATTGGTGAAACTTTTTCCACACTCACTACACTTATGGGGTTTCTCTCCTGTGTGGATTCTCTGGTGCATAACAAGGCTTGAGCTCTGATTGAAACTTTTCCAGCACGCTCCACATTTATAGGGCTTTTCCCCTGTGTGGATTCTCTGGTGTGCTGTGAGGTCAGAATGATCACTGAAGCTTTTCCGACATTCGGGGCATTTGTAGGGCTTCTCCCCAGTGTGGATTCTCTGATGGCAAACCACATGTGAGCTTCAGCCAAAGCTTTTCCCACTATGGCCACATTTATAAGGTTTCTTTTCTCCAACCTGGGCTAATCTGTGGACAGCTAGGTGTGAGCTCTGGCTGAAATTTTTTCCACATTGAAAGCACATATTAGGTTATTCTCCTATGTAGGTTCCCAAGGACCTATGAATTTACCGAAGTCCCTTTCTGGAGGAGAGAGTGACTCTTGTCCATCTTCCAGGGATATTTCCCATTGCTTTTCTGCCCCATATTCACTTTCCCAGTCTTTCTTCCAATTAAGGTACTGGGAAACATCCGTTCTGGATCTTTCTAATAATGCGCGAGGTAGTTCTACTTCCTCTGAAATGTTCTGGCTTGAAATCTCCTCATTCTCAGCCCTTGTTTCAAGATCTGAAAGTAAGAAATGAAACTGCAAATGTAACCTATTTTCTGAATTCAGAAGAATGGAAATTGTGTGGAAGAGGTCCTCACTGGATGCTTAAAAACAAGGTATTGACAGACAGAACATAGTCAACTCGCATTAACCAGGAACAAATAAACCGGAACATGACTGAACCATGGTTAAGACCAGTAGACTTGCACTTCCCCAGCTTCTAAACAAGACGGTCACTTGGAAAAGTGCTGGGGAAAGGATGCAGCCGGCTCCAGGCCCTTCTTTTTGAGCCAGAGCAGCTCAACCCTCCTCAGAGGCTCTGCCCCCAAGCATGGCTCCTCCTCTCTGCCCAGCTGCTTAGGGACTAGCAACCAGCACTAAAAGGCTACCTTTCTCTTCTTGATGCTGCTTTCCAGGTAGCATTCTGTAGAATAGTTCTCCTGGCCTCTCTTCACCCCCTTACTTACGAGTGAGAGCCATGACTTTGATTAATGAGGACCTGAGTATTCAAGACTCAGAAGATCAGCAGTGAAGGTTCTATCCCTGCAGGGTGAGGCCTATGGTTGTCCAGTGCTGCCTGTGGCTGGGTGGGTCAATCTGCTCAATTCTTGGGTATAGTATTATTAGGAAGTCCACTGTGGCCATACACCTAAGTCACATTCTGCAACAGCCCCACCAGTTATAAGGCTGCCATTTTGATCTCACTGTCTAATTCATGTCTGTCGCAGTTGGTCAGGAATCTGGGTAGGGGAAGAAGAGTACTATTTATCAGATTTCCTAAAATTCCAGCAAAATGACTGAGCCCCACCAGGGAGAGGAGCTCACCTTAACCATGAGAAATTCATGTCTCCAATATTCCTTAGAATATGGACTGTAATTTTAATTTGGGGTTTTCCATGCTCACTTTTTCTATTAACCTGGTTAAGTGATAATTAATCATAGTTAAAATTCAGATAGAAATTTAAAGAGAAAAATCATAAACACTCATAATTCAGTTGTATCTTCTCCCAAGGTAACTAAGGTTTAAACTTAGGGGAACAGGCTTTCCTGGGTGCCACTTGTTTCTCTGTTCTCTTCCCAACTCCTGTCTTTTCAGCACCACAGGGCAGTAAGCTGGGAATGCTAAGTGCCTGGGTTCCTCTCCCAGCCCTTGCCCTGCGCCAGTGTGTCCATGTTGAGAACTCCAGGGATGACTTTGTTGGTAGAATACTAGCTCCCACTCATTTCCCACCTGCACAGGAAGTTTTCTGAGTCTCTCTCCTCAAAATCCTGAAGATCGACATTCCAAAGCCCTTCACTTCTCTGCAGCCTTGTGACCCCGTCTGGCTGGGGAACTGGAGGTCCTGCTCAAGGAAAAGCAAGAAGGGACGTGGAGTTCTGTAATTCACTTTCTCTTCTCATGTCTGGAAGTGGCAGGTGAAATGAGAATGGAAGCACCTCCCAAGAAGGTCTAGTTTTCAGAAGAAAAAGTTCAGTTCATGACTCAGAAAAATGTCCCTCTTCTACTCCTTTGAGGAGTACAGGACAATGTACTTATGTATTTTAATAATTACAATGATGATAATGAAAGCTAACATTTGCTGAGTGCTAATGATGTGTCAGGATCTTCATAACAGCCCAGTGAGGTGGATACCAGGACAACGTCCATTTTATAGATTAGAAAGTAGAGGCTTAGGGTGTTCACCAGCTTGCCCAAGAACAGAGAAGTCTTTAAGTGGCAGACTGCTGTATATAATATATGTTGAGTTCACATCTATGGGGTACTTTATTTTATTTATTTTTTATATTGAGACAGGTCTTGCTTTGTCACCTAGGCTACATAGAATACAGTGGCATCATCATAGCTCCTTATAACCTCAAACTCCTGGGCTCAAGTGATCCCCTTGCCTCGGCCTCCTGAGTAGCTGGGACTACACATGCGCACCACCACACCGCGCTATTTTCTTATGTTTTTATAGACAGGGTCTTGCTATGTTGCCCAGGGTGGTCTTGAACTCCTGGCTTCAAGTGATCCTCCTGCCTCAGCCTCCCAAAGTGCTGGCATTACAAGCATGAGCCACTGTGCCCAGCCCTATGGGGTACTTTAGATGGAAACAAACAACTGAAATGACTGAAACAAATGACAAACTCCAACCTTTCTCTCCTCTGTTTCTGTAATTTTTTTTGTAGAGACAGGGTCTCACTATGTTGCTCATGCTGGTCTTGAACTCCTGGCCTCAAGTGATCCTCCCACCTTGGCTTCCCAAAGTGCTGGGATTACAGGTGTGAGCCACCACGCCTGGCCTGTTTCTATAATATTGATACCAAAAGCAGGCAGGGAGACTCCTTTGCTATAAAGCAGAGCAAGAGCCTCAAAATGGTCTTTGTGAGCCACTCTGGACAACTGGTTCAGTAGAGGGTTGAGTCAAGCGATATTTGAGGATAGGAAATAAACAGTGTTCCCCCAATTTTCCCCCTGATGAGCCATTCCAGATACAAATTAGTCACAGCACAGCCAGGACAATAATCATGTCTCCTGGTTCACAGTCCCCAGTGCTTCCCACAGGACTCACCTCTCCACTGTTCTGAGGAAGACTAGGGAAGAGAGCTCACTGTCAGGATTCCCCCTCAGCCTGGGGACCAAGACTCCTGGGCTCCTCTTGTGGCTCGTCTGCCATTTCCTTATCATCCCTTGTCACACCTTCCGGCACTGAGTCCAGGTTTTCTTTGGAGTCTTCTCTATTCTGAAGAAGGCCTCCTGCCACCTCTAAGGCATCAAAGGTGTTAGCAAGGGCCCAGGGACTCATTAGGGCATCCATCTCGTCATAGAAGGCACAGGTGCCCAGCGTCTGGGTGCTCCTGGCTTTGCGGTAGTTGGTCTGCAGGTTTTTGAACCCATGGTGACACTGTTCCAGTGTCCGCAGGAAGCCACGTTCCTGCAGCTGCTCAGCCACAATCCGGTACACCTGGCGGTTCCGATGGCAAGTGTGGAGTTTCTCGTGAATATGGCTCACCTAGAATTCCCAGGAAAATTTTAGTTTCTTCATACCCCCAGTGCACACCTGGGGAAAAGGTACAGTGGCTAAGCCAAGACAATGCTACTGGTTTGTTTCGTAATGAAGATAGCAGAAGACACCCCCTCCCTACCACAGCATTTTAGTGATTTCCTGAAAAATAATCAAATGGGTTTTTTCCCTCTGTGACAGGACTTGATCCAACAATATACACATATTTGTTTTTAGGCTTATAAACATTCTTAAATAATGGTTCTTTTTCTCAATCACTCGAGTGAACAAAGGGAGCTTCCGTTTGTACGTAAAGATAGTCTTTCCTTGCCCTTTCGAAACTATTATGATGTACCCTGAACCCAAATGTCACTTCTGAGAGAACTGGCTGGGATGAGGCTCTCTCCAAACTCTGTTAACAAGTAGGACCCTCCCATCTTGCTGATGACACCAGTAACACTTACCAGTAAGACTCTGAAACAAGGCTGGGATACCAGGGCTTCTGGATGCTTCTTCAATCTGCAGTTCTTGCCCCTCAGAATCCTCTGTCATGGCTCCTGAATGCCCTTCCTCCAAAGATGCTGCTGTATGGCCTGGGTTCCGCCCCTGCTTCCGCGACCTGCCTCCTAACACAGCCTCGGCCGGCATCGCCTCCTCCTGCTCCCAGCAAGCCCTGTGAGGTTCTTCATGCTCCACATCGTGCTGCGCGGCAGACCCCCTGCCACCTCTGGAGTCGGGGTGGTGGCCTGTGGGCACATCAGGGCATCCATCTTGTCATAGAAGGCACAGGTGCCTGGTGTGTGGGTGCTCCTGGCTTTGCAGTAGTTGGTCTGGAGGTTTTTGAACCGGTAGCGACACTGCTCCAGAGTCTGCGGGAAGCCACGTTCCTGCAGCCGCTCAGCCACAGTCTGGTACACCTGGCGTTTCCGATGACAGGTGTGGAGTTTTTCATGGATCCAGGACTCACCGAGAATTCGCAGAAAAATCTTGGTTTCCTCATAGCCCCAGTGCACTCCTGCCACCTTCTTATCCTCCGGGCCCTGCCACTCTGGCCCATCCCAGGTCTTGGCTTTGCTCCAGCTTGGCACCTGGCCAGGCTTGACTCTCGGCCCACCCACCGAGCAGTCTCTCACACTCTCCTTCTCTCCGGGGTGTTGAGGATCTGAGCTCTGTGGTTTTTCCTCCTGTTCCACATGGAAGCTCACACTGGGCCTGTGGATTGGAAAATCTGTTTGCAGGGAAACAAACAGAAGATGTAATGGTTTGGTGAATCTAATCCCAACCATCTTATATGCCAGGGGGAGAAGACAGTAATTTTTTAAAAAGTCTAGGGGGATTCTTGGGAAGGCTCAATGAAAATACTATTAAGAACCATGAGAGAAGAACAAGAAAAAAATTCAGGCCCAAACCCATAACTGTATATCCATGTTTATCTATCTTGTAACAGATAACATTCAGGCATACACCTAAACTGACCATCTCCCTAAGATGAGCTTTTAATCTAATATCTTTTCTGGGCTCATGAAACTCATCCCTGGTGACACTGGGGAATTGGATTTCCATGTTTCTATCAAACAGGATTAAAGGAAGGAATTGATTTGAAACATTCAACCCAAAAAAGGTCTAGAGTAATGAATACTACAGAAACCCTACAGCTAACTTTGACTGTAAAGGAAAAAATCATTCTTACCTAGCAAGACCCCCTTTGCAGAGTTCTGCCAAGTTACTTCTACGTGGTTCTTCTGTCCAGGTTCTGGTTTCCTCTGTGCCTCCTGGGAGATATATATAGCCACATCGCCAAATGTCATCAGCTCCTGAGGAGACATAACAGCCCTCCTCAAACCACACTCCCTTGGGACCAAATGCCTCTATAATGCCTGAGTCATAGGGCAAATGACAAAACAGAAGAAATACAAAAGTGAGTTCTCTTTGGCTTTTAAATGCAATAAAGGGGGCAGGAGGAGGTCGCAGGAGGAGAGAAAGAAAAGAAATAAGCTAACATTTACTGAACACCTGTGCACTGTGCCAGCAGCTTTTCAGGCTTGCTTGAAGTTATACAGCTGGTACAGGTCATAGCTGGGACTTGAACTCAGGGCTGTCTCTCTGAAGCGTTTTGTTTTTGCCTTTGTTTTTCCCCTCACAAAACTGCATGCCATGTGAACAAGATCCAGAAACAGAATGAAAGAAGCAACCAGGACCTTTAAGGCAAACAAATAAATCAATATAATCTGACAATTTCAGGGTCAAGGAAAAGAATAATTTTAATACAATCCCTCATTACCACACTGCCTTATATAAATAAGGAGATCTGGATGACCTTTTGCAGGGTGATGGAATTTTGGAGCCTAATCTGTAAAGTTACTGGGCTTCCTCACTGGGTAAAACTCTTGTGGAATTTCTGAGCAGCAAGAGAGTTGGCTACATAGAGCCCACTCAATAGTAAGAGGTGACCTGGGTAAAGTCTGGCTCACCTGGGAGCCGCTTACCATCCCCTGGTCACCACAGCTCTTCTCTGTGGGAATTCGCAGAGCCTGAGCATCAGGCAGGGCTGGGGGAAGAGAAAGGAGCCATTAGAGTACATGGTTCTCAAATCCTCTTGGGGACTGGCCCAGCTAAGTTCAGAAACAGAAGAGTCTTCCTCCTCTTAGTATCTGCTTCAGCCTATCAAAGGTTGTTAAAGATCCAAAATGATACATTTCTAAGATGCAGTTTCTAGGTTTTCCCTTCTGTATCCATCCAGGTACTGACAGTCAGGGTTTTATAATTCTGTTTTTTAGTGTTGATTTGGGGACATCTACCTGTTTTAAGGATTACTGCACCTTAGTTTAACCCTACCTTGTGTCTTTCCCACTAACCAGGCCTAAAATCTATTCCTACTAGGACCAGTAATCTCTCACTCACATAAGGAAAGGTGCCACAGGCTCCCCTGTGTTGTTTTATAAAACACGCCAACCATGGTCCTCCTTCCCTTTGGAGATACCTGTTTAGGATCTCACAGAATCATGCGGCCAGCCTCAGCTCACACGCCACATCTTCCAAGTGGAAGGGAGCTGTACCCTCTACCCCGCTTTCTGCACTCAGGGTAATTTTATGCCCTCTCCACAGAAGGGTCCCTCCTTCTCCCCACACTGCTATTAGTATTTCTTACCGCTGTCATGGAAGGATTGGGGTTCTACTTTGGGGCTGTGGTTCAATTGTTCCTCTGGTTCTGCCTGTGAGCTCTTCACCATTGCCCAGAACAGACACATGAATTCTTTCTGTGCTTGCTTCGGATGGATGTTTATAGAACTCAGTACTGATCCTGAGGGTTCCCTCTTCTCTGAGCACATCCTGTCCCTATTTAAGGACTGGAAGCCATCAAAATTCTGTAGGAACTAAAACTTAAACATCCCAAGACACAAAGAAGCAAAAGAGAAAGCCAGTGTTATGCAAATCCCTGCAGCAGTGTGGATGTGTGGAACATTTCGGGAGATAAGCCTGGAACCCAGGCCCACTGCAACCTGGCCACCCGGCTCCCCTGAGGCTGCTCCTACCTGCCCTGCCAACCCCTGGGTAAAACACATAGGGCCAAACAATAATTCAGCTATTTTGCAATAGGTTTAATTATATCAATAAGACCAGTGAAGCCCCTTGCTTCCAGCTGGCTGCTGCAGAATGAGCGTGTTCTCCAAAAACAGATCCCTGTCATACTGTGTTCCTCCTTGCTGAGTGATGCTCAAGCCATTTTAAACAATTCTCTTATGTAATGGCAGGGACCAACACTCAAAGCAGCCTGTGTCGTGCATTCTCTGCAGAGTCAGACGGAACTTGAAAAGAAAGCTGCAGCTACCTGTTCCATGGAATAAGCAAATTCTAGTTTGACACAAATAGCAAATTACTGCATGTCTCCTACACTGCTGGCAACCCAGAGTGGCTCTATGTCTCACACTCCTCTATTTTAACTACTCAGAACTATGTTCTTATATCTCACCTGCAGCCTCTGTCTTCGAAGTTCTTTCTGTAAGTCTTCTACCAGAGCCACTGCTTCCTCGCCACTCTCTGGATGTTGTTGTCCAACCCAGATCTGGGTCTCCGGGGGAAGGACAGTCAGGAACTGTTCCAGGACTTAGCAAGTCTAGGATCTGCTCTTTTGTACGCTTTTCTGGTCTCAGCCTCTAGTGACAGAGCTTCCGGAGTTGGCTGAGGGCCTCCTGGGGTCCTGATGCTTCTTGATAGCGAAAATGCCAAAAGCCCTGGCAGGATGTTTCTGGGCCAGAGTCATTCCCTGGAAGGGAAATTCCCTGTTCCCAGTGGGAATCTTCTTCCAGTTTCACTATTTGAAGATCTTGTACTTGTGGAGTCTGGATTTGTTGGTCCACAGCTACGCCATTGTTCAGCTCAGAAAAAAAAAAGCCTTGCAACTGTATTCTGAAGCTCAAATCTCTTCTGCCACCTCACTTGGAAGCCATCTTCAGTTAGGAGTCACTAAGTGGAACTTGAAATTCTGGAGTCAGAGACACATGTTACAAAGTGAACGCTAGTGAAAATCACAGGTATTAGCCTAGCAGGATTGATAAGAGAACCTTCCAGTCCCCACCCCACTCCATGCCCGGGTGCCCTCTGTCACTGGGGAGGCAGTCCAGAAGTTTGTTAAGAGGGGTCAAGGGCTGCTAATCTGGTCAGAAAGTAGAGGAGCTTGAATCTGTGTTTACATGGCAATTACCTTAAGGCTGAGGAAAGGCCAGTTATCCACTGAAGAATGCCAATGGGCTGATGGAGATTGTGTATGGGACAATAAACTGCCCACCCTCCCAATGGTCTTCAGAACTACAGGGTGTTGCAAAGTAAATGTCCAGCACAAGTCTGAGAAGGCACCTAAGGTGGCAGCACCATGGAGAGCAGCACTGGGGTGGAGCTGGCTCTAAATTTTAGAGATTCAAATGCTCCAGCTGCTCAACTGCCCTCACCTCTGGCTAGGTTCTCAGCCTGGGGCGCCCCGTTCTGGATTCCTCAGCCCTGGCATCAGAACTCTCTCCTAAACAAAGAGATTTACCCTGGTTAAGCTTACAATCTCTAAGAGAGTAATAAAAACAGACTCACGGCACGTTAGAGTTGTCAGGAAAGTTAAGAGATACTCTGGCTTCAAGGATCTTAGGGCCGAAGCAGTCATGGCTCCAGAGACCCCCAGGGACTTGCTCAAGGTCACACAGCTGGTTTATGGCAGGAAAATGGACAGTGGCTCAGCCCTTTGACCGTGACCTTGGTGACCAGCTCACAGAGCATGACTTACACTGGAAGGCTACTCTGCTCCGCGGGCGACCTTCTCTGCAAGCTTTATGGGTCAAACGCGGGCGCTGGGGAATGGGGCCTCCGCGGTCACAGAGCCATGGACGTCCTCTCCAGGCCCAGTGGGCGGCTGGAAGGAGGGCGCCACCAGCACGAGGGCCGTATCCTGCCCCAGGTCCGCTCGCAGGGACTCGGGGCCTGAGCCCAGGCGGCCGGACCCCCGCTCATGGCCCGGCCACGCCCACCCGGCAGGGGCGGCCCGGGCTCAAGGTGACAGCAGCTCCTGC